TTTCCCATAATGCTGCATTATAACTACATTTTACAAAGTCAGTATTTAGATTTAGGGAAAAAGGAAAATTTACCAACATGCAAACATTTCCTAAATATAAGGTGTACCACTGATTTGTGATTAATAAATTACTTTTTAAACAAAAGGCTAGCTTAGACATTCTACTGTAAACCATTTTAATGAGTACCTATTACTGTAACCAATGTTTTAAATATACAGTGACTGAAGCAATACAAAATGAACAGTGTAAGGAAAACTGGTGGACTTCACATTCTACTTAATCCAATTCAAAATAGCAATTTTGGCTGAGCACACTCCCTCACCATCTGTTATCCCAAGCATTTTGGGAGGCCAAGGTGGGAGGATGGCTGAAGCTCAGGAGGCCAGCCTAAGCCACATACTGAGAGACCCTGTCTCTACAAAAAAATTAAAAATTAGCTGGGCATGGTGGCATAGCCCTGTAGTCCTAGCTACTTGGCAGACTGGAGCAGGAGGATCACTAGATCTCAAGAAGGTGGGGGCTGCAGTGAGCTAGGAGTGCACCACTACACTCCAGCCTGAGTGACAGAGTAAGACTGTACTCTAAAAAAATGAAAGTTTTATACATTGTACTATCCGTAAGAAAGATAGTCTAACACAGTGGTTCTCAACCTTCCTAATGCCTCCTAATGCCACGACCCTTTAATACAGTTCCTCATGTTGTGGTGACCCCCAACCATAAAATTATTTTTGTTGCTACTTCATAACTATAATTTTGCTACTGTTATGAATCGTAATGTAAATATCTGATATGCAGGATGTATTTTCATTTGTTACAAAGGGGTTGTAACCCACAGGTTGAGACCGCTGGTCTAACGGGTTAACAAGAAGTAATTTAAATTTCTATTTCCTATGATGGCAAATGGCAAACATTTTTTAAAGCCTGGGTCAGACCCTGAAAATTTTATAACATCTTGACTATTAAAATGTTGCAAGGTCTTTGGAAGGATTCTGTCATCAATTTCTCTAACTTTAAAACATCAACAATAAACCAGAGTATTCGATTGTATTATAATTGGATATCTGAGACATTCACATCAAAGCATAAATCTCCATAAATATTTTCACTTTCAAAACACGGTCTTAATTTGTTAATAAGTCTAAAATATCAGAAGTGTTGGAGAAACTCAACTGTGCAATATTGACACAGTGTTTTTAAGCAAAAGTTTCATTTTCTCAGCTGGAGAAGTCAAGATCCATTTCTTTTTTAATAGGTTAACTTTAAAATTCCTTAACATTCTGGAATCATCTACATCCATTATTTCAAGGAGACAACAAACATCATCATGCAATATTAGTCAGTTCATCTGAGTCTAAAGTGAAGAGAATTGCTCTTACCGTTGAGATATTAAATCCAAAGCTTTGGCTCTGTGAAGATGGAATTCAATATAGTAGGTGCAATCACAATGAAAAATTTGAGTAGGGAGGAACCTTGGATATTGAGTCTAAATCTCTTAACAATATGGCTACCAAAAATGAGACGTGTCCATCAAAGTGGAGGAGATATCCTTGTTGATTAGCAAGAATTGCTTTCTTTTCTTTTTTTATTTATTATTTTTAATGTAAGACAGCATCTCACTTTGTCATTCTGGAGTACAGTGGTGTCATCAGAGCTCACTGCAACTCACACCTGGGCTCAAGTGACCCTCCTGCCTCAGACTCCCAAGTAGCTGAAACAGCAGGTGCGCGTCACCATGCCTGGCTGATTTTTCTATGTTTTGTAGCGGAGTCTCACTCTTGCTAAGGCCGGTCTTGAGCTTCTGACCTCAAGCTATCTAACTGCCTATGCCTCCCAAATTGCTAAGATTACAGGTGTGAGCCACCACATCTGGACAAGAATTGCTTTCTTGAGTGGGTTTTTGGGTTGATTTGCTAAACCTCATGGTGATCACATTTTAGGAAAGAATGTATACTTCTGAAATATTCCTGCCAAGTCTCAGAAAGCTATTCTTTCGGATGTGATGGATGTTGAGGCACATTATGTTTAAATACTTCTTATAAAGTAAAGAAGGTAAATTAATTGGGACCAGATAAATACAATATTTTTGATGATACAAATTCTTTGAGACTAAATGTAGCCATATTTTTAGTCTTGAAAACCTAAGATCTAAAAACTACAGAGGGTGACAAAAAAAAGTACACACAGTTTAAGAAAGGAAAAAACTGTATTAAAATTACAATACTTGGCTCAGCGCCTATAGCTCAACCGGCTAAGGCGCCAGCCACGTACACCTAAGGTGGCGGGTTCGAATCCCCAGCCCGGACCTGCCAAACAACAATGACGGCTTGAAACAAAAAAATAGCCGGGCGTTGTGGCGGGCGCCTGTGGTCCCAGCTACTTGGGAGGCGGAGGCAGGAGACTTGCTTGAGCCCAGGAGTTGGAGGTTGCTGTGAGCTGTAATGCCACGGCACTCTACCCAGGGGGACAGCTTGAGGCTCCGTCTCAAAAAAAAAAAAAAAATTTACAATACTCAAGTCAGGTTTGACCTCTACAATTCCAAGAGGTGCTCCATGTGACTTCTATGTGTATTCATCTTTTGTTATCAGTATATCCCGAGTATTACCATTTTAATAGTTTTTTCCTTTGTTAAAATATGTATACTTTTTTGGCACCTTCTGCATACAACTTCTCTACAAATCATATACTCTATTGATTTCAGGAAGTCTTATGCACAAAAATAGAATTAAATAGATAATCAGCTCAATTCCAACTGAGTAAATACATTTTGAAATAAACAAATGTATTTACCAACTGGAACTACTATCACCAGAAAGCAAAGGTTTAACTAGTAAGATAGTTAATGTGCTAGTTGGTCAGATGTATAATTAGCCACAAGGATTCAACAGGGGTTTTCAGTTACCTAGTACATATTTAAGGAAATTGCTTTCAACTATCCTACATAAGCTTTAATAACATTAAAATAAATGTCATTTTAAAATATGTTAATATCATAGAATTCTTAGAGTCTATATGCCTCTCTGCCTAAAGTATCTTGCTACTACAATAACTTTTATTAAGAAGAGGAGATAACTCATACATATGATTATTTTTATACATATTAGAAGTTCTTTCTTGAACAGGATTTTAGAATGAATTTGCTGAACTACATGGCAAACTTCAATTGCCCAAAACTTCAATTGCCCCCCCACTACTGTTTTGGGAAATGAGTATGTTCCTTTAAAATATTCTTGACTATTTCAAAGAGCTGCTCTTTATGAAGTTATATAAATAGCGCACAAATAAACGCTAAAAGCAAAAAGTTCACAGAAATCTTAACCAAAATACAAACATACATTCGTAACTGCCATCTACAATATTCTGTTTTGGTCCTATGTCTTAGTTTGCCTTTAACCTCTTTATTCTAATTATCAACTGGCCTTTAATTAAACTGACAATGACTTCATTATGTATTAGCACATTCACAATATAAAAATGAAAAACTATTTTATTTTCAAAGGCTAAAAAAGAAAACAAATTACAGGTAAAATCTGGGATTGTTTGGGTTAGGTTCTAGGTGATCAAAGGTTAACACAGACCTATCACTTACTAAGTTACAAAGCACAAAGCACTTCCACGTATCAGAATAATCCATGGCTTCGCCATCAAGCAGACTAACAATCTTCTATTGATTTAGATTGAGCCGTAGGAGAAAAATTCAAGAGGAAAACTATCTTTGTTTAATTTGAGGAGAGGGGACATTCTAGTACTAGACACATTATCACACTATTGGCAAGTAGAGGAATTGCTTAGTAATGGGTATTTTTCTGACTCCTTGAAGAAAACTGCTTTAGGAATTTTCTTTTGGCCTTAAAGTGGAATCACTGTAGTCTTTGAAGTGAAACTACTTTAGAACTCAGTATTTTGTGTGAAAGGAAGAAAAATTACAGAAGAGCAAAAAGCTTAAATGGTTCATTTTAAGATATTTGAAGGCACGGATATTTCACATCAATTCAGATTTTATATTACATGAACATAAAACTCAAAAAGCCACGACAAGTCAGTACTAGTGATTGGTTGGATTTTATACTTCTTTCAAAATGTAAGGCTGTCGTAGCCGGGCGTTGTGGTGGGCGCCTGTAGTCCCAGCTTACCTGGGAGTTTGAGGTTTCTGTGAGCTGTGACGCCATGACACTCTATCAAGGGTAACATAGTGAGACTTTCTCAAAAAAAAAAGTAAGGCTGTCACACTCTTTTCTATCTCGATAGATATAGAGAGAGAACACTGGGGAAGTTTCTTCAGAAGCAGACACAATCCAAATGTTATCAAACTTCTGAAATGTGAGCAGGCTGTATAAACTTAGTTCTAGAATATAGTCTAATTACGTAAAGGGCTATTGAATGTTTCAACTGATGAAAACCAGACTTTTAAAATATCAAGAATCATTGATATGCTATTATCTATTTTTTATTGATAGAATAAATTTTAATGAAGTTTCTTATGTATATCTAAAGTGTCAGGGTGAAATTTCTAATCCCTGGCTTTCGGATTATCTGTCCCCTCAAAGGACTCAAATGAACACTTACTTAGAGTCACTGGGCAAAGGAAGAATGAGACTCCCAATGACTCCCCTCAGAGGCAACCTGCCAGTCAACAGTCTCAAATATTAAGCCATCAGAATCTCTTAAGATTAACAGGAATGTCAGCGTTCAAGGTATGTACACACACAGAAAGGGTCACTTCCATCTGTTACTCTTCCTGGTTCTTCTATGACAAACCTCAAAAGTAGGACCTTTCTTGTGTATACAAAATTAAAAACGTAGTTCTTTAAAAATTCAAACAAACACAGTTATAAGCTACTATATGCCTACACTCTGTTCTACACAAAGAAAATAATTAGACTCAGAGTACACGCAAAAATTCATCAAGATTAAATTAACCCAACTCCTCAAATTAATACACTGGTCCTTTTAATCTTAGCAAGCACTTTACTTTGTTTTATTTTTTTTCCACTTTTAAAAGAGTTTACTGAAAGCTTCTTTTTGTATATAATAATCTCAATAGAAAAATCTTCACCTGCAAATATAAGGTAGAATTTTTTTTCACAGCTATAGGCTGTAACATTGATTTCTCCAGAATGGCAATGGAGAGCAGAAAATACAGATGACACTGTTAATTCCAGATTCTAAGAAAACTGTCCCAAGAACCTGTTGCCACAGCCATGCCATCATCAGTCACTCCTAAGCAGCTGACACGGTTGTCATGACCAGCAAGGACACCTGAAAAAAAAGTTCAGTATAAATTAACAATTACAGAATTTTAATATTAAGGAAGCATATGTATGAAGATCTAGAAGGGTACTTTAAAACAGTCCAGTTTGATAGCCAACTGGTAAAAAGAATTTAATTTAAAAAGCAACACAACCTAAAAACTAACAGGGATCTCTGAATGAGGAACTAAGGTAAGAGGCACAGTGGACATACAGGTAAAATACTGATGAAAACTAGTATATCAAATTCTCTAAAGAATGTTTTTAATATGCTGTGTTTGAATTTGTATTATCTCTCTATATGTAAGCATATTATTTTCCCTTGATCTCAGGCACAGAAGTTCATCTTGTCTAACTCTTAGTACCCTCTGCAGTACCTCCGGTGTGTCTGGCAATGAGCAAATTTACCGTTATGGGTTGAAATAACAAAAGATGAACACTGTGGCTAACTGCTCCAGGAAACACTGGGGAGGAGAATGAATGAGGGATTCATGAAGCAGGTTTCAGTTTTAAGGTGAAAGTTCCAATTGAGCCAACTTAAAACCAGCTGTATTCGGAGCAAAACAAAAATACAAGCTTATGTGAAAAACGTGGGGAACATGTGTAGTTTTATTTTGTTTGCTGTTTTATTTTGTTAGGTGTACCAGTTATTCAGTTCAGACAGAACACCCAATACCTTAAAAATATAACTGGCTGTGGGCAATAGAGTATTACCAAAAATCTACTTGCAAAGTACAAAACTGTGACCTCTGCCTGTGCTCCCTCAGAAAACCCAACGGCCGTATCAGGCTTTCCAAGGGTAAAAACATAAGCTCTCAAGGACAGTGAGAAGATGAGAGGGAGCAATGCCAACAAAATTTGGTAAACTGGACGGGGGTAATTGTGCTAATGAACCCCAAAATGCTGAGTTCAAGCTTAGTAGGCCGAGGAACAGAATTATACTGCAGTACCACCAAAGGTGTCCACTCTAGTGTAATCAGGAATCTCTGGAACCCAGTAGTGGCAAAGATAGGGTAACATAAGACTGCATTAAAAAGTGTTCCTAAATCAGTCAGACGTCCACTCTGCAGAGTCAGGTGACCAATCATCCTGCACCATGGCCTAGATCGGTGGGTGTCAACCTTCCTAATGCCGCGGCCCTTTAATACAGTTCCTGTGGGTTGCGACCCACAGGTTAAGAACCGCTGGCCTAGGTAGAGACTTAGTCTCTGCAGAAGGTGAAGAAGGTAAACAGGGTCTCCTGACTGGAGGAAAACAGGTGCAGCTGAGATCGGGTGCACTGTGCTGATAAAATAAAAAGGCATGAGGCATCTGTCAGCACATCTTTTATCCATACATAAATTAAACAACTTAGTGTTGCTATGGTGTTGAAATGCTTAAGATGTCCTCTATCTAGGTAAACAATATTCCTTTAAGAAACTATTTTATTCTTAAAATTAAAAAAATAACAAAGTTTTCTTGCTAATTGTTGTTCCCTGCCCATTTTCCTTTTGAAATGATCCCCCAAACTGGAAGCCAGCTTATACACTGCAGGTAACAGAGTGAAGGTCCATCTTGGGAACATGGTGGGACCGAGAAAAAAAGGCTGTGAGATATACTGGAGGCCCAGTGACAGCGTGGCCAGACCCCGACCAGTGAGGACACAGAAATACACCAGAGTGCAGAGAAGTTCAGTGTCTCCTAGGTATGAATAAGGAGCTTAGAATCACCAAATTTTCAAGGAAATAGTCTAAAAATAAGAAGAGAGGACTAAAAAAGATGAAAAGAAAAACCAACTTTTGTTTTCGTCAAAAAGAAAACTAAAAAAGAGTTCATTCGTTGCCAACAGAGAAACAAAAGAATTCATTATTGAAAGAGATGGGTACGGTAAAAAATGGAGACCAAATTAGCTCCCAAAATGAAAAAGATGATAGCAAAACTGAAAACTGAACATCACAGAAGCGCTAAACGAACAGATGAGGATTTCTCCCAGAATATAAACAAGTCAGAGATGGAAAACAGAAGAGAATATAACTAAAAAGTAAAAGGAGACCTTCCCTCAACTCCCATTAGGGAGTTCTAGACAGAAGGAAGGATGACAAAGGGGAAGAATATAACCCAACCAGCCCCCGAGTTCCCAGCACTACAGCGATGAGTTTCTAGATCAAATCGGTCCCCTGAACACCCAGCACAACAGATGCCAATGGATCCACTCCAAGACCTATCAAAACCAGCAGAGAGTCTGAGGCATTGTTAGTGAGAAGTACATCGAAACTGGGACGATAAACCAAAACAATTAAATTAACTCCAGAGAATACAGAAAAGGTGCACGGCAGGTGTAGTCACAGTGTACCTCGTTGCTGAGAAGTAAATACTCCTTACAAGGCCATAATTGCGGAACACTCTATGTTGTTCGAAACAAAATTTATTACCGGGAAAAACTGGATGGGAAGGACGAGGCTGTGCTGGGAGCAGCATGTTAGCCCAACCCTCACCATCTGTAACGGGCAACAGCTGATAATGCCTACACGCTAACAAGTAAAATCAACCAACCACCTTACCGGCATGTTACTTAGAGACAGAAAAGTAAATGCTTAAAAGTTTAAGTAGCTACTTTTAGGAGCCAAAAACATGAGCTGGGATCAAAGAATTGCCGTGTTTTAGTAACAAGCCATATAGAACTATTTGATTCCTTTAAGTATAATACTGAGTATATTTTCTAAAAAGTTTTAAAAATCAATTTGTGTAATTTGTCATTCATGACAGCCCCCAGCGTGGCTTAATGTGTATGCTAATCTTGTGGGAGCTGCGAGGGAGGACCTGGAGGATGGCATTAAGGGGAGACAGGGGTCGACGTCCTGCGCCCACCAGAGCTGCTTGCGAAGGAAGACAGCCCACAGCAGGGGCTCTCCCGGGTAGAGAAAAACTGCCATGTGTGAAAGACCTCGTTCAATCATATTCACTATTCACCTTTAATATTGAAACTTACCAAACAAGAACTTACTACAGAACCAAACGTTACTCTTCAGAAAACAAAAATACAAATACGGTGTATGGACTCTAACCGCACTCAAAGGGTGACAACAGTGAGCAGGACTGAGAGCCGCTAGGTTCCCATTTCCCACAGCTCCAGGATGCCCGAGGAAACCTGGGAAAGCCCTCGTCAAGCTTCCTGAAAAGCAGAACCCAGGATGGACGTACTAACCTGCACGATCTCCTTTTAGCGTGTCCCAGACGTTACAATTAAAGTCATCGTAACCAGCTAACAGGAGGCGCCCACTTTTGGAGAAGGCTACAGAAGTGATTCCACAGATGATATTGTCATGAGAATACAATAGTAACTCTTGGTCTGCACGCAGGTCAAAGAGCCGGCAAGTGGCATCATCAGAGCCAGTGGCAAAGGCATATCCATTTGGGAAAAACTATAAAGAAAGGCAAAAATAGATGTAAAGAAAAATCCTAAAAGGCAGTGTACTAACAGATCCTGGGATAAGACAGATCTAGATGCAAATTCCAACTAGGCTCCTTACCAGCTAAGTGATGTTGGACACAGTCTTAAGTACTTCTGACCTTGGAGTGTTGGTTAGGATTGAATAAAGTAACACGTGCAAAGCACACACAGCTCATCACTCAGCACACAGTAAGTATCCAACAAACACTGGCTCTGGTGTTCTGTGTCTTATTAAAACATTTAAGTGAAGTATCACTACTTACAGAATGTATATGTATCTATGTGTGTATATATTCATATATATATTATTTTTAGAGATAAGGTCTTGCTGTGTGGTCCAGGCTGTGGTGCAGGGGCTATTCACAAGCATACTCATCGCACGTTATAGTGCTAACTCCTGGCGTAAGCAATCCTCCAGCCTCAGCTTCCCCAGCAGTGGGACTACTGGCAGGTGCTCCTGTGCAAGCTTATATAGGTATTCTTAAAAGAAATATTCCAAAATCCCATTATGAGGAATAACTAGAAAGAATCTTCTAAAAGAGAACAAAACATTCCGATTAGGCTAAGTCATAAGTGAAAAAGAAGACTGTGCATGGTTAGTTTGTGAACACCATTTCTCAGAACACCGGCAATACTCAACATGGACTTTTTACCAAAAAATTTAAAAAACAACAAACCACTTTGTTCACACATCCACTGGCCATCTATCTGTACCTCTTTTAAGAACTAGTTATTCACGACCTTCGTATATTCTCCCTCAGGCTATTGGTACCTAACTTCTTGATTTGTAGAAATAAATGAAGAATATAAATTTATTTCTTACCAAGCATTATTTTATAGTTTATCATTTATCTTCTAATATTGTTTACTTTTAAAAATATATCAAAAGTTTTCAGTTTTAATGTTGTCAAAATCATCTTTCCTTCTGAGATTTTATTGCTTCTGTGAATAAACTCCTTCCCTAGGCCATTAACTGATACATGTTCAGTTACATTTTCTTCTAGTTTCTTTTTCAATAATTTCATATTTCGCATCTTAATTTTTATCCATCTGGAACTTAATTTGATAAACAGCATTCAGTGTAAGAATCTAACTTGGCTCGGCGCCTATAGCTCAACCGGCTAAGGCGCCAGCCACG